TCTCAACCCATAAGCTGAGAACCACTGTCCTAGCAGAACTGCCTGCTCAATGGCTCATGGCACAAAGCAGCTTCGTTACTTGGAGAAAATACACGTGCTTAGAGACTTACTTGTCTAGGGAAGGACCTGAATCTTGTGTAGAGGAAAGAGGAACATCTGTGGATCCCATCGGAGAAGCATTTTGCATCTCTTTACCTCTTCTCCCTACTCCACCCCTAATACCAAGACCAGCTACTCACCCTTCTGCCCCCGAGTTCCCACTGCTTTCCTAACTACATCCCAGCTCGTTCGTGGCTTCATTCCAGGCATTATATTTTCCAATGGGGCACAATCCTTATAGTTTGCAAGTTGTTTGTGCTCTCCGGGTGCCTGCCTGTGAAGTGTGCTGGTGTGGCCCCATCTGGGCACGTGCCTGTGTTTGTATCGGGTATGTGTTGTTATCATTAGGGTTTCTGCTGCTTTTTATAGCGAAGAATGAGTGAGCCACCCATGCCATTGTGCTCTCCCTTTGACAGCATGAGTCCCACTGTGCTCTGGATATCTGGCTCCCCATCTTTCTCCATGGCCAGAGACAACCTTACCTTATGGCTTCTCCCCATGGTTTGGGAAAGAGAAGTGCCCAAGCCTCTGCGTATAGGAAGTGGCTTTAACACTCTTGAGTTCAAATTCATCTGTTTGGCACCTCCTTTTGATACACACCAAACTAACTTCCTCCTCCTCCGAAGACTTTGCCAAAACAATACCTCTTGGCAAGGAGGAAGAAGTAGACCCTCACCTTCTAAACCTGTCCCAGTAGAGATGCCCACTGACTGAACTTTGAGTGGACAATGAGTTGATCAACCTCGATGCTTTGTAGGCTAAAAACTTGAGCAGATATCATCATGAAGGACCACTTGGCCAGACAGGCCGGCTAGCCTCGGGGAGGACACGGGAGCGGCCAGGTTCAGCAGCTGCCAAAGTGAGTGGCGTCCAGATGTCTCCCGTCCCTGCCTTCATCACATCTGCACCATCTGTCTGATCCCTGTGCTTTGCACAAGGACAGCTCACCCACAGTTTCCCCTCTACCACCTACTGCAGAGTCAGAGTCAAAGGGCTGTATTCAACTACTCTGTTAGAAACAATTCCCTAGCCGGGCAGTGGCGGCACACACCTTTAGTCCCAGCACTTGGGAGGCAGAGGCAGGTGGATCTCCATGAGTTCAAGGCCAGCCTGGCCTACAGAGCGAGTTCCAGGATAGTCAGACTACACAGAGAAACCCTATCTCAAAAAACAGCAGCAACAACAAAAAGAAGCAATTTCCTACAGGGATGGAGAATCCAAGTTAGGCCCCAGAGGCCAGATTTGTAGAAAGATGCAAAGGAGAGGTGAATCCGGCTCCGTCCTGGCAGCCTGGAGTTCCCAGCAGAAGGGCCTAAGAAGGCTGTTGGAAGATGTGGTTGACTGAAAGGAAGACCGGGAGTTTAGAGAGGCAGACTGGAACAAGGAGGAGGGTAAAGGTGGCAGGAAGCTTTGAGGTTGCTGGGGACAGGCGGCTGGTGGAGGCCGCACCTTAGGATACAGTGCCTGATGCAATGAAGTAGTGGGTAAGGTCTGACCATCAAAGGAGAAGACAATTTGGAAATGTTTGTTTATTTTTATTTTTGTATGGCTGTTTTTGCTAGACAAGCATCCTACCTGATGAGACATACCTTCTTTAGAGGAATGTAAAGGACCTCTCCGGGGCATTAAGGCCCCATCCCACAGGGCCATTGTTTTCAAATGAGTGTAGGACCATTTTCCTCACACACAGGTCCTGCTTTAGTACATGGTAGATAAGTGTTCTACTGCAGAAATGGACAGCCCTTTGTTTGTTTGTTTGTTTGTTATAGGAGCCCAAGCATCACAGGCTGACCTAGAACTCCCCATGTATGTGGAAGCATCCTTGAGCTCCTAATCCTCTGCCCTGTCTCCCCAGTACATATGTCACCATGCCTAGACAACGTCTATGGTTTTGTTGTTTGTTTTAGCCATGGAGTCAAAAGTACAGAGCTCTAGTTTACAGGCAAGGAGGGGAGCTGGGAGTCCTAACCCCAGGCCCTCCTGTGGTGTGCACACCACATCAGACCTTTGGGCTGTGTGGATGCCCTCTTATTCTGAAACTGAGCCGTACACGTTAAATGCCCTTCCCTAAGAGGACAGACACACCATAAATTTCGTTTCCTTCCAAGTACACGTTACATCCTGCTGTGTGAAGCTTGACCTGACCCATCTCTCTGCTGACAGACATTATCACAAAAGTGGCCTTTTATAAACAGTTTTATTCTTGAATATGAAGTTAGAAAAACACGACAAGGACAAAAAGACAACTATTTCTTACAGGCGATGGGGAGCCACTAAAGGACTCTAAGCGGGACACTAGACTATGGATCTGTGTGGGGTTTTTGTTTGTTTTTGAGACAGAGTCTGACTATCTTGATAACGGAACTCGAGTCCTGGGCTTAAGCCACCCCTTCCACCTCAGACTTACGCATAGCACCTGGCTGGGATCTGTGCATGAGAAAACTCACCCTGCCCACTGGGAACAAAGTGGACAAGAATAGAAGAGTTAGTAAGAAAAGGACCTATAGGGCTGCAGAGATGGCTTCGTGCTTAAGAGAACTTGCGGCTCTTGCAGCAGACTGGGGTTCAGTTCCCAGCACCCACGTGGTCACCCACGTGGTGACTCACACCATCTGTAATTCATTTCAGGGGAGCCAATCCCTTCTTCTGACTTCTACGGACACCAGGCACATACATGGTACACGTACATACGCATGGGCAAAATACTCATACACACAAAGCAATGCTTTAAAATCTAAAATACTTAGAAAATAATAATTCATGGAGAGGAAGGAAGGGTAGGGCTGGGGTGATAGCAGAAGAGACACTGGAAGGTGTGGTGGGTACCCTCACCGTCGTCCTGTGTGTCCCCATCCCTTCTTAAAGACCCACCTGCTCCAGGGACCAAAAGAACAAGGTGAGGTTTACCTCTCAGTGGAAGCGAGTGTGTGCCTACAACTAGTGTGCCTGGGTGGCAAAAATGATTTGAGGTAACCAGTGAAACACCCACTGCGTGCAGGAGACCCTCACTCTCCTGAAAGAGGGTCAGCGTGGATTGCCCAGAGCCTGGGGGACAGAAGACCCACTGTCCCTTGTCTCCCCGGGACCCATCATTTACATCGCTGTCTTTTGAAACCACTGTTGGTTGGGTGTAATTGGTTTTGCATTGGCCAGGGAGGAGGTTGACCAGGGGAGGGCAGGAAGAAGGGAGCTGGAGGTGAGGAAGAGCAGGTGCAGGGCAGCTGCGAGTGAAAGGTAAGAAAACAATCACTCTGCCTTCCTCTGTGGTTAGCAGACAAACAACCCCGAGAGCTGGCCTGATGGAGGGCAGCGACAGGGGGAGGAGGATGTGGAGGTAGGAACTTCCGGACCTGCAGCAGGCACGCCCCCTTCTTTTCCACGCAGGACAGGCTGCCTCCCTTCCCTGTGCCCAGTCTCCCTGTGTGACTCACTTTTGCCTCTGCTGGCTTCCTGCGCCTAGTGAGTTTGCTCTCTGGCTAGGAAGTAACTGGAAGCTCAGTCTCTGCCCCCTTCCCAGCAGCCTTTGGAGGGAGGCTCTGGAGACAGGCAACTGTGCCTTAACCAAGCCTTCTCTTGAGCAAGACGCATATGTAAAATAAGAGTAAGATGTGTGTGTGTGTGTGTGTGTGAGAGAGAGAGAGAGAGAGAGTATACCTCAAGCTTGGGTGAATTAAACCAGATGAGAGGCCATTTCCTCAATTTCAGCAATAATCAAGATAGGAGGGGGGGCAAATTAAGAGGGAGTCAGCAACCACACCATCCTTTCAGAATTGGAATATTGGTTTCTCATTCCACTCAAGTCCAGTACCCAAATGTCAGTGTGACTGCAATCCCCAGGCATCCAGCTAAGAACACAAGACATCAACCTTAATCCCTACCCTTGGTGAGAGACTACTGGTCCCTTTTGCATAAAGAAAAAAAGAGGGGGGAGGGCACGGGAGGAGGGGAGGGAAAAGGAGAGGGACCTGGAACTGACTTGTGAAGCAACCTTGTTTCTTATCTAAATTTTAAAAAAAGAATTAAAAAAATCATTATTTGATTAAAAAAAAAAAAAGAGGTCCTAAGAAAAAAAAGAAAAAAAGAAACACCCTGTAGTTTCAGGCCAGGGATGTGTCTCAATGGCAGAATGCTTCCTTAACGTGCATAGGTCCATCTCCAGCACCGCCAAAAATTAAAATAAAAAAACCAAATTTAAGAAATATGGCACATCCCAGCACTCAGGAGGCAGAGGCAGGCAGATCTCTGTGAGTTTGAGGCCAGCGTAGTGTATAGAGCGAATTCCAGGACAAGTTCCAAAGCTACACAGAGAAACCCTGTCTTGAAAAACCAAAAAAAAAGAAAGAAAGAAAGATGGCATGGGGGCTGGAGAGATGCTCAGAAGTTAAGAGCACTGGCTGCCCTTCCAGAGGACCTGGGTTCAATTCCCAGCACCCCATGGCAGATCACAGCTGTCTGTAACTCCAGGTCTAGAAAATCTGACACCCTCGTACAGATATACATGCAGGAAAAACACGGAGGCACATGTAATAAAAGCAAATAAATTTAAAAAGAGAGAAAGAAGGCATGGGCACACACCTTTATTCCCTGCACTCAGCAAGCAGAGACAGAAGGACCTTCCAAATCTGATACCAACCTGGTCTGCATGGGTAATTCCAGGCTAGCCAGCCATGTACAGGGAAATCCTGCCTAAGATTAAAAACTGGAAGGAAGAAAAGAAGGAAGCAAGGAAGAAAGAAAGGAAGGAAAAGATGGCATGATTTGTTCAAGGACACACCAAGGGGAAACAGGACAGTGCAGACAAGAAGGAATCAGCCTAGGACAGGAGACATCACAGGTAGTTTCCCCTCAGAGAGAAAAGACGGGCTAGCCTTTCTTATTTTTCTTTCTCTTTGTCCTTGCAGTATAAGGAATTTGCCTTCTACAGTAACAGCACTGAGATGCCCCTACAGGACAGCCACTTCTGCTCCACGGTGGAGGGACCCCTGCTGACCTCCTTCAAGGCTGTATTCATGCCTGTGGCCTACAGCCTCATCTTCCTTCTGGGGATGATGGGAAACATCCTGGTGCTTGTGATCCTGGAGCGGCACCGGCAAACTCGAAGCTCAACTGAGACTTTCCTCTTCCACCTGGCAGTAGCCGACCTCCTCCTTGTCTTTATCCTTCCTTTTGCAGTGGCTGAGGGCTCTGTGGGTTGGGTCCTAGGAACCTTCCTCTGCAAAACCGTGATCGGCCTGCACAAGATCAATTTCTACTGCAGCAGCCTGCTGTTGGCCTGCATAGCTGTAGACCGTTACCTGGCCATCGTCCACGCCGTCCACGCCTACCGCCGCCGTCGACTCCTCTCCATCCACATCACCTGTGCAACCATTTGGCTAGCCGGCTTCCTTTTTGCCTTGCCAGAGGTCCTCTTTGCCAAAGTCAGCCAACCTCCTAACAACGACTCCCTGCCACACTGCAGCTTCTCTCAAGAGAACGAAGCCGAAACCAATGCCTGGTTTACCTCTCGTTTCCTCTACCATATTGGGGGCTTCCTGCTACCAATGCTGGTGATGGCCTGGTGTTATGTGGGGGTGGTACACAGGCTATGCCAGGCTCAGCGGCGCCCTCAGAGGCAGAAGGCAGTCCGGGTGGCCATCTTAGTGACGAGCATTTTCTTTCTTTGCTGGTCACCCTACCACGTTGTCATTTTCCTAGACACACTGGAGAGGCTGAAGGCAGTGGACAGTAGCTGCGAACTGAGGGGCTATCTCTCTGTGGCCATCACCATATGTGAATTCCTGGGCCTGGCCCACTGCTGTCTCAATCCCATGCTCTACACCTTCGCTGGTGTTAAGTTCCGCAGTGACTTGTCTCGACTCCTGACGAAGCTGGGCTGTGCTGGCCCAGCCTCCCTTTGCCAACTTTTCCCCAGCTGGCGCAAGAGCAGTCTCTCTGAGTCAGAGAACGCCACCTCTCTCACCACCTTCTAGATCCCAGAGTCTCTACAACCCCTTCCATTCTGTTTTCCTTGGGAGCCCGGAGTGATGTTCGAAGCCCTTTCAACAAAAACTGGGGTTCTAAGAGCTTATTTGGGCCAGTGTCCCCAGAAGGGACAGCTAGATGGACTCTTTCTAGAATGTCCCTAAATTCTTCTGCCATCCCTCGGGCTAAACTAGAGCCCTGGGAGGAGAAAGCAGCCCAAGACGAAACAAGGGATCTCTAGGATAAGAGGACTCCACACACCTCCCATCCTAACCAGCCAAACCAGCTTTGCTTCTCCCCTGGTCACAGGGAAAGCCACTCTGCTGGGGGTCTACAGGCTCATCCTCCTCTGGTTATGGACCCCTGAATCTCCTCCTAGAATGCACTCTGTCGTCTTAAAGGCTGCTGGCCACAGCTCACACCACTCCTGTCCATTGTATAGCCAGTTGGTGGCAGAATGTGGCCTTAACCTGCCTGTGTCCTAAACACAAACTTTGTGCCAGACCTGCAACCCTGCCATTCTCTTAATCAAGCAGGAAGCTGGACTGATTTACGTTAGGGAGCTGTCTAACTCCAACCAGCCAGCATTGGGTCAGCCCCATGTTACTGGATCTTGAACTACAGACCAAGGACAGGCTCCACTAGGCCCTGGAGGCAGCCAGTGTCCGAAGGAGAATAGAGGGCAAGCCAGCAGGGAAGCAGCCCGGTGGAGAAACGAAGAGACACCTTCTCTCCAGGCCCCAAAGAGGGGCAAGGAGAATCAAACCCAGTGGGGGCTGGAGAGATGGCTCAGCGGTTAAGAGCACTGGCTGTCCTTCCAGAGAACCAGGGTTCGATTCCCAGCACCCTCATGGCAGCTCACAAGTGTCTGTAATTTCACTTTCTGGGAATCCAACAGCATCGATACAGACATACATGCAGGTAAAATGCCAATGCACACAAAATAAAAATAAATTTAAAAAAATCAAACCCAGCTGTCTTCTCTGCTCAGACTGGCAGGGAGATAAGATCCAGGGCCCTAATGGATTCTGGGCACTGATGGGGAAAGAGGCCATCTTGCCTCTCCTGAAATCCTCAGAGAAAATAAAATAGTGAAGGGGTCCTAGACTCAAAGGGCAGGTACTTCGCTAAGAAAATGAAGACAGAGACGGGGGCAACGTGAGAAGCCAACCTGGGCAGGGAAGTCCCCTGCCCCAGGAAGGCAACGCTGTGCCCCTGGGAGGGCACTGCTCAGATGGGACCACAGGAAGCTGCTCCACACCTGCTTAGGGGAAGCCTGGCAGGCAACTCTGAGCTCCTCCCAGTCACTGAGCTAGGAGGGGGTGGGGGTTGGGGAGAACTGGGCTTCCTGGTACACTCCAGCCAATAAGACAGGCTCCCTGGGGACTCCACTAGGGAAATCAGATCTATAGCTTCAGAGACTGCACCCTCACTGCAAAATGGACACATCTCGGGTTCGGTCCCCTTTTCTGTTCCCAGCATCCAACAGAGAAACCCGACACAGAGACAAAAAAAGCAGATTACATTTTTAAATTTTCTTTTTAATAAAAAGGCACCTATAAAACAGGTCAATACAGTACAGGCAGCACAGACCCCCAGAGCAAGCCTAAAAAGTGTCTCAAAATAAAAACCAAGAAGATGTCTTCACATATTGTATTTATATATTTATATTTATATATATATTTATATAATGGTACAAAATGGCTGGGGTATGGCCATGGATGGAGGAGAAGGCTGGCCTGTGGAGATCTCCTTGGGGAGCTCGTGGTAGAGGTGGGGACAGGGACACGGAAAGGGGGCATCAGGCCCTTTGTGGCCTGAGCCCTCTCCTCAGAGCAGGGCAGTTAGACGGTTTGGAAGGCTGGGAACACGGGGGTGGGGCACAAGGCCCAGAAGGAAGCAGGGAGGGCAGAGTGTCAGACAGGAAGGGCAGGTTCCCACCCACCTCTCAACGCAGAGACCTTGGCTCTGGTCCCTGGGAGGGGCTAGGGAAGCCGGGGCCTGCAGCCAGCTCTGGAGGGGAGCGGTGCCTGACCGGACTGGCAACGGACAGCACCAGACTGGGAGAGGTGGGCACAGATTCCCTTTGTATTACAGCTGCCAAGGCTAAACCAGGCCCCGCAGGTCAGAAAGGCTGGGGACAGGGTCCTGGCAGAAGACACCCTGTCTAGAATGGCCCTTGGCCCTGGAGGCAGGGCAGAAAGGCCTTGGTCAAGGAGCTGCCCACCACCTTACAAGGCAGGAAAAAGGAAGTGAGAAAAAGAAGTATTTTACTCCTGGGGCCAAGGGAGACAAAACACCCATTCCTGTATGGCTTCAGTCTGACCAGTGGTGGGGGAGGGGCTCTCCTGGGGAGAAACCGGGAGGCAGCGGCTATGCCTGGGCTGGCCCTGAGCCCTGGACAGAACCTTGCCAGAGGGCGGACAGGCAGCAGGATGCTCTCCCCCACTGCCTTCCCTTACTCCATGCTAGGGGAGGAGGCTGGAGGGGAGACTCACTGATCAGCCAAACTCTGTCCCTTCCTTCTTTGGTGAGAAGCAAGTGGTGGTTTCTAGAAGGGTCTGTGCCCTGAGGGGTTACCTGGCCCAAAGCCACTAAAGCCATAGCTGTAGTCACGTCATGCTAACCCCTCCATAGCTCCATTCAAAGGGGCCACACCTGCCCCTTCCTTCTCTCCTTTACCAGACTGGGAACAAAGGGCTTCAAGTTCTGGCTAAGATGTAGCAGCAGAGGCGCCCGGCAGGGGCCCATGTCACTGGTGTGGGTAAACACATGCCCATGCGCACACCTGCTCTCCAGAAATCACTCAGCAGCAGACAGGCGGCCATAGTCGGGGGAGGGGGAGGTCTGGGTCCCCCTGGGCTCACCAAATGGAAGCCTAGCTGGTGTGACCTCGGTTGACAGGTGGGGCACACGGAGGGTGCATAGGACAGTATGTCTCTGGGTCCAGGGAAACGGTGGGAGGGATTGCTGGAAGGAGGGGGAAAGGTTCTTTTTTTTAATCTTTCTCTTTTGTGTGTGACTTCTATCAAAACACAGAAATACGGCACACGCACAAACCCGCACAAAAGCGCAGCTCTATTTACAGCTCCACTGGCCCCTGCCCACCTGGCCAGCTGCCTGCAGGGGGCGTGGGAGAGGAGGTCAGCCATGTCAGCAGGGAGAGGAAACGAGGAAGACCGGGAAAGGGGGTAAAAGCAAAGAAACCAGGAGGGGACAAATGGACCTGGAGCACCAATGAGGTGACAGTTCCATAAAGGGACAGAGGATGGAAGACCCCTCCTCTCCTTCCTCTCTCCCCAGGACCCCCAAAGCATAGCTGAAAGTGGGGGGAAGTGTAAAGACAGGGAAATAGACGCCCCGTAGGAACAGGAAGGGGAGGGGAGGGACAGTCCTGGTGGCTGAAGTGGAACAAAACCAAATTCCAACTCTCCACCCAGACTCTTCCACTTCCCCCTAAGCTGCCAGCACATCAGGTTCCCACAAATGCCATTCCCCACACAAGCCCCTACCCACCCCTCCACCCTACCCCTGGACCCAGGCCATCCATCCCAACACTGGAGGGAAAAAAAACTTTCTTAAAGTTAACATATTCTCCGTATCCCCAGCTCCAGACCCCTGAGGGCCTGCTAGAAGGGTAGGTTGGCCATGCCGCCAGGCGCAGGGAGGTAGCCCATCTGGCTGTCCAGAGACACGCTGCGCTGCCGCAGAGGGTGGGACACCATGAGGTTCTGCTGGGGTGGGGGGCCCATGAGGGAGCCCTGTGGGGAGAGCATGTGGGGAGGCTGGGTGTAGACCTCACCCCCCACACCCCGTTGCTTCATCAGCATAAAATTCTGCTGGCTCATGAGGCCTTGTGGTGGGGACATGACCCCTTGGTGCAGGCCGTGGGGCACCATGCCCTGCTGTGGGGGCACACCTGTCCTGCCCAGCAAGGACATCTGTCCAGGGTGGCACATGGACATGCTGAGCCCCCGCTGGACCCCCTGTTGGCCTGGGAGGTTGGGGGGCCGAGAGGGGGTCTGCTCCGCCATCATGTTCTGCAGGTTCATGAGATGCAGGTTGGGGGGCTGGGCCTTGGGGGCCTGGTTCTCGCTCTTGGGGAAGTACTGGAGGGTGCTGCTTGGCTTCTCAGAGGGGATGATCCGGGATAAGTCGAATTCAGGAATGCCGGTAGGGGTGGGCCGGATCACCTCACTCAGCTCTGGGTCGTTCAGTACTGATGCCACTCCAGGGAGCACCCCGGGTGGGTACGCCGCGTCGCCCATACGGCCAGGCATGCCTTTGCCCATCAGGTGCTGCTGAGGGGGTATGGGGCCGGGTGGCTGGTTGGGCAGGTCCTCAGGGGGCAGGGGCATGCCTGAAGGGTAGTGCTGCTGCAGGCCAGGCCCCCCACCCCCACCCCCAGGGGGGGCCATGGCACCATGGGGCTGCTGTAGCCGTGGAGGAAAGGGCATCATCTGGGAGGAGCTGGGCACGGGGCCACAAGGGGTACTTAGGGAGTCTGGGCCTCCTGGGGCCATCATCATTGAGTTCTGAGAAGGGCCCCCTGTCCCCTGTGCACTGGGGTGCAGTGGAATGTTGGACCCCAGAGGGGTGGGGGAGGGTAACATAGTAGGTGGGGGCTCATGGGACAGGGGCTGCTGGCCTGGCAAGTTCATGCCCATGGGGCTCTGGGCAGCAGCAGAGTTCAGGTGCATCTGGTTGGGCTGGTTATTACTGATGCCTGTGGGGAAAGAACAGGGCATTAGAGAGGTTCGTGGAGGCGCCTCCCCCATCCTCCCCACGCCCATGAAGGTGCTCTAGCCTAGGTAGTGATTGGAACAGAGACCCACAATTCACAACACGCCCCGTGACCAGGGACTGCGGCAGCTTGCAGAAACCAGCATGTCCACAGGGGCAATTCCTAGACAAACCCACTGCCGCCACTCTGGGAGAGGTTTGCCTACTCATACCTGGCCCGGAGCCCTGCGGGGGTGGGGGTGGGGGTAGCAGGGGCCGGTCAGGCAGCAGCTCGTCGTCTGAGGTGGCGATGGTCTTGATGGCATTGTGGTACAGAGGGGTAGAGCTGGGCATGGCATACTTGGACATTTGAGACATCATCAGTGACAGAGGGTTCTGGGAAGGCGTGGGGTCTGGGGAGGATGTGAATGGTAGGCTGGGATTCATGAGGCCACTGGGAGGGTTGGCAGGAGGCGCTGAGGAGCTGTTCCGGGGGCCGCTAGGCGGGAGGGTACCTGCAGAGGCAGAGAGACAGAAAGAGCAGGGGTCACGGGGGAGGGGAGCACAACTGAGTTTGGCTCCTCATATCTAAGGAGAGGTCAATTTCCTTCAGATCTCTACCTCACTTCAGGCACACCCACATCCCACTGAACAAGGGCTCCCTGTGATCCCAAGGACGCACGCAACGTTAAACAATTCCTGTAGTGGGGAGATTCCAAGTCTCAAGTGGGACCCTTCAAGATGCCTAGATGTATCTGGAGCTCTGTGTAAGGGACTCCAGCACAGCTGCCACCAAAGCCCCTGCAGGAACCCACCCACCACAACAGCTCCAGCCCAAGTCCACCCAGATGACTTACCCTGTTCCATGTTGCCCAGGGTGGAGGAAGAGTTCATGTTGAGAGGCGGCTGCTTATTCTGGGAGACCCCAGGACTAGGCATGGCCGTCTTGGGAGAGGCCACCCAGCCTGGAGACGGCACCGCCATGGAGGGCGACTTGAGCCTGCTGGGTGAGCCAGTGGGTGAGCGCACGCTGAGGGAAGAGCTGAGGACCTGGGGTGACTTGAGAGGTCCTGGTGGGTTGGCAGAAGGCAAGGGCACCATCTGTGAGGGAGTCTGGGGTGACTTGAGGTTGGCAGAGGGTGAGGTGACCAGGGGTGAATGCACCTGGCTAAGGGTGGGTGACTTCAGATGTCCCATACCTGGTGAGCCCATCTGGTTAATACTGATGGTTAGGTCTGAAGGCCTCC